TCATAAACGCGGCACGGGTGAAATGGAGTGGATCAATCGGCACCCTCTGTTACCGACGTTACTTCAGGAAGCTCCAAGGAAAGGTTTACAAAGCAGAGGTGAGGCCTGCGATGCTCTATGGCAGCGAGTGCTGGTCAGAAGACAAGAACGCAATCAATTGCAGAGATAAGATGGGATGATGATCCTGAGGATGCGGTTGGATCGGTGTAAAAACGAGGAAGCCAGGACAGTCTTGCAGACAGCTCTCATCCAGCTGAATATGAAAGAACGGCGCTTGGACGGCATGGGCATGTACTGAGAAGAACACAAGAGCCACTCAGAGGAGCAGTGGAATTTGATGCCTAAGGGAACAATGACGAGGAGCCCCGAAGACTAGGTGGCTAGCGGAGAAAGACTCATCAGCAAAGGTAACGGCAGAAGATGCTGCAGATCGGAGAAATTGGCCTCAACTAAGAAAACAGCGGGCCCTGTAACAGCTCAGCATTACACTGGGGGAAAGAAGACGATCCAGAGTTCTTCATGATTAATGATCCCCTTCATGGTAACACTAGGAATCGTTTTTTCGAATTTGTTCGACACTACTAGATGTTCCACGCTCTGGGGTGAACTTTCGAATTGGATCAGTAGCTGGCACTCGAAACTTACAAACTTCAATTTAGCTGAGTACAACTCATACCTCATTGAAGTCACACGTGCTCGTCTTGCCGCTCAATTCACATAACCTTCTCTTCAATTCCGGTGGAATATATGCTCGGCGTTCTTGAGATGAGAAGGTGAGAACCTGTAAATAGTGTCTAACTTTGCTATTAACATTGTTTTCTCAAATGTTATGTATATCGTGGATTGTTTGCTATGTTGGCTCAGCTGAGTTTCAGCATGGAACGACGAAACGACTTGATCTTTGTACTGCTTATTCGAATATGTTTGAACTGATTGCCACAGTACGAACAGCTACGAGGCTTTGGGTCTCGTAATGGACTATAAGTCTTTGATAATTATGGGCACATAGCGCTGTGTGTGAAAGAAATATATATTGCTTCATTTGCCATAGATAAAAAATTACCCATGTTACGTATACTTTGTAAGTACTCGTCTTCCAATAGGTCTGAACGATGGGATGGTGCAAAACGTATCTTATATTGAAATGGCAAATGTAAAAGTCATATCGTTGAAAACTTTTGAAAAAAAGTGAAAAAAATCAATCTTGAAAGAAGTTCGTCTCATTGTCGGCACCCATATTGTTCCCTCCTACTAGATCTTACAACAGATCTCCGGGGGAGGATGACAGCTGGGCACCGAGTATCGAAGTATTGTTGAAAAAGAAGTGCTGGAAAAGATTATATTGTGCTGTATTCAATGAATCATGTAGTGGGAATGAGAGATGGCTCGCTCTTCTGACATTTCGAACCTCGGCTCCCAACCCTTTTCGTATCTGAGGATCATTATGATCTTCACGCTGATTCACACTATCGAAAATGGTAACCTCCCGAAATAGCCTCACCATTGCAACCGACGTAGTTGAAAGCAACAATAGAAGCCGCATTTGGCTGCAAGGCGATCTGAAGCAGGACGATAAGTTCCTTGGCAACATTAGTACGAGAGTTCCGTGAAACAGTGCATGGCTTAGAAAAGAAATCGGGCAGAAAAATCTGATTGAAGCATTACAACTCCACATTGGAATATAAAGTTGTGATACCAGTTCAGGGATCGGTGAACATTTCAAATGTCTACAGTGATTACGAAGCTATTCTCATAAGTTCCCGTTCTATGTAGAAAACCGATTTGATTTTGAATCTTTTCGAGGTAGAGCGATTAGGGATATGAGAACGAAGAAGCTCCTATGTATTGATAAAGAAACTGAAATCGATAACAGGTGGAGTGTGTTCAATACATGATCAATTTGACAAAAAATCGCAACAGTGGACTGAAAATCCCATGTATAACAAATGGGTGTGCGCTGATGATTGCGGAAGCTCGTGGAAGAAGAAGAAGGACGGGTCGAATAGTTTATTCACAGTTCTCTGAACACATACCCAAGCCATGGAAGAGAAGAGAATAAAAGATCTACGGAGAGAGCTACTTTTCGAAAAAGCTACCCAACAGGAATCTATATTTTTCCTTAACTCAGATCTTTTCAATGGCCATACGTGGACAAAAGTTTGAGCATTGTTTGTATCGATGCATGACCACAAAATTCAAGGGCAATAATCCTACAAAAATGAAACCATTTTCGCGCAAGTTAATTTAAAAATGCGTATTTTGCAATGAGTACGTAAAGCATGAAGGCAAAGGATTAGAAGCTCAGCAAAAAAAGGATGTCTGAAGACTTAACGATGCTCGATCCCAATGAAACAAACTGAGAAGCCCTATTAAAGCGTCTACGCAAAATGATGATTGAAGGCTACTGAAGCGGTCTGACAATCGGTCAATCTCGTTAGCGCCTTCCACAGTCGATCTGAACGTTCCGGTGGCGTAATGACAAGCTGTTGCGTAGTAGTGGAATGGGATTGTTAGAAAACCAGTTTGCTGTTCGTCAGTAGCTTGCTTTTCTCACATATTATACGAGGGGATATATTGTTTTCCAAATTTCTATCTCTTCCCATATAATTCCTTCCATACTAACCTGAATGCACTCTTCTAAATCGCACCATTTATCATTTGAATCCTAATCTCTCTCGACGTTTCATTCTCTTCATTTCATCAGCTTTCTATCATATTCTCATCTTTGGCCATCTATAAATCAACCACCCAGTTCAAGTTGTTCGGGAGTTCCCTAACAAAATACAGAGAGAAGGAAACACGTCCTCACCACCTGATCCAGTCTATGTTCATCTTGAGGGATTTTCGGAAATCACGAGACCACGATTTCGGAACATATTTTCTTGATGCCTATCCTGTCTTCTCATAAAAAGAGTAATATCACGCTGAGCTTTACGGAAAAGTGCAATTGTCAGTTGTCCCCTGGGACTGTTCAGAACTGCTTGTCTCGCAGTAAGTAGAGAAAAACGAATCTGAATCTATTATGTAATTGCTTAGGATGTGGTCAAAATAGGGTGAGAGAAAGCTAAGAAGAACTCTGATCGGTGAATGCGTCTTTTGCTGTTCAGAGCAGAAACGGTAGAGGAATTGAAGAGATCGATGTGAGCTTCATGATGTTTTCAGCATTCAAATCCGCGATGTGGAGATATTCCTGTGCTATTGTTATAGCAAGGTTACTTGAAATTTCTAGTTTCGATCCACATTTACCAAACCGGATTAAGCGTCAATACAACGGGTAAATATGGAAGCACTTTGCTTTTTTGTCGGAAGCGAATCCAACGCCCTACAATAGTTGTCCCAGCAAATGCACTCTTGCCGGGAGAATAGCATAGGAGCCCAGCCCTTGTTGCATTTTCCGAACTAGGCTTGGGAAATGCCAAAAATAACTCCGCGATAAACGGATACCCAGATAGAATTGGGTTCAACAATGGTTCATAGCTCCATGAAAGGAGTGTCAAAGTCATCCCTGCAATCCAAAATGAAAAATGGGGCTGACAACATTACTAGTCAATCTCAATCTTCGCCTAATCAAGCTGGATTGAGGGAAACTAGTTGTTATCATTTATCTCCTGAAAACCAGACTAACAAAGGCTAACACGATGGTCAACGGGATCGCCAGGTTCCACCAACGTGGCAGAAACAGACAAAGAGTGAAGCATTAGTAAGATATGTATGTATATCTGGAGTATACATCTGCGTCAAAGTAAACTTATTTTACGAAGAGATTGCAAAACAAGCTGGCTACATGCGAAAAAGTGGTGTGAAGAGGCGAGTTCTGCACCTCCACTTACTTACAAGGGAAGGATCCAAAGTCGAAGTGGCCATTCGAAATGGGACCTATACTGCTAAGCGTATTTTTTGATGCTGATTTCAAATCTGCATTCAAAATCTGCCAAACGATTCTCTGAGAGAAGTTATGGAGATGGTCTCCAAGGAACGCTCAACAGGGGAAAGCAGAAAAGCCATGGTCGCCGGCAGCC